TCCGGGCGGAGGCCGCAGGCCCCTCACTCAACCCCATGCTGGCAGCCACCGCGGCCCTCAGCCCCCTGCACGGACGCACTGGAGACATCCCCCCGGCCCCGCTTCCGGGAGGAAGTGACGCGTCTCGTCAGCTTCCGGTTCGGGAGGCTCTGCCCCACCTCCGCGCCGGACAGCTTAAAGGGACCACGACCCCCAGGAGGATTGAAGGAGACCGGTGGGAACCGGGCGGGGCGCAGCTTTGCGGAGCTGTAGTGCAGCGCTGGGGAGGGGGGGCGGCTGAAAGTGGGGCGGTGGTCGGGCCGCGCAGGCGGAGATGGAATGGGGCCCGGGCTCAGACTGGTCACGGGGGTGAGAGTGGGCCCGTTGGGGCGGGAGGAAGGGGCTCGGACCCCGCGCAAACGCTGGCCCTGACCCTCTGTCTCTCGCTCTCTCCCGGGCAGGGAGGCTGCCGGCGTGGACCGCGGGAAGGCGGGGCTGGGGCTCGGCGGGAGGCCACCCCCGCAGCCGCCCCGGGATGAGCGCGCCCAGCAGCTGCTGGACGCGGTGGAGCAGCGGCAGCGGCAGCTCCTGGACACCATCGCTGCCTGCGAGGAGATGCTACGGCAGCTGGGCCGCCGGCGCCCGGAGCCGACTGGTGGCGGGGTCAGTGCCCACCTCGGGCTGGGCCTGGGGGTAGTGTCTGCCCACTGGCGGGACTGGCGAAGCCCTAGCTTCCCTTGGAGGGTGGAAGAGTGCCTAGACCCTTTACCCCTAACCTCCTTTGATCTGGGTGAGAGGTTTTGAAAAAGTTAAGTACTATCCAAATACCAAGTGGCCATATCCTTGCGAGGCCTAATCTGAGGCCTTTCCTCCCAGCCTCACTTTGTTTCTTTCTGTTCCAAATAGAACGCCTCAGCCAAACCTGGAACGCCCCCCCAGCCAGCTGTCTCCACCAGAGGTGGCTTTCCAAAGGATGCTGGCGATGGAGCTGCGGAGCCCTGACCATCCCCAAGCCGGGTGCCCTGACTTTTCTCCATCCCCAGGGCTAGTGGCTGGACTCTGAACAACCCCCTTCAATAAAGGGACCAGTCTTCACTGGCAGTGGCTGGTACTTGGCTCTCAGCCTGGGATGGCAGCTCTCCTAGCAGCTGGGTTCACTCCCACTTCATCCTGGCTGAAGGCAGTGCTGTGCTTTGAAATGTAGCCAACTAATACCCAGTCTGATTGACCGGATCTGGGCAGACCAGCAGTGCTCGCCAGAGTGGTTTGGCCTGCTATGGGGGATCCAAGTCGTGTTATATGTCCATTTCATGCTTTGGGGGGCTCTCAGCCCCACAAAACACCTTCAGCAAAGACTTGATTAAAAGGAAACCTGCAGACTCTCCTGGTGACTGACCTTTCCTTTCTGTTCCCTCTCCAAGACTGATGGCTGGGCAGGGGGGAGTGGTGGAAAAATGTCAGCTATGGGCGGAGATGGGAAGAAATGCCACAGATGCTACGAGATTTAAATAAGCATTTAATTAGGATTTCATTAGTATTTAATATTGCTTTTTCAATTCCAAAAAGTTAAATTTTCACTTCTTAGCAGATATTTTAAAGTACAATATTAAGTTTATACAAAATGAGCAATTAAGCAAACACCATTATTTCACATTCTTCAAAAATACAAATTCATATTTATTCTTTTTTGGGTTTGGAGGTTTCTTCCTTTGGAAGTACTGAACCTGTAACGTTTTCATATCGCTCAGTGGAAGTCCGTTGTTCCCATGTTTCACACTTAAATAAATTTGATAGACTTTTACATAATCCAAATAAAACTATTTGGGATTTTAAAAATTGTTACCAAGACCACTGGCCAATGATTAGTGTGTGTCAAAAAAGAAGGCTCACAGGGGCTCTTGCCTTTCCTGGCTAGAAGATCTGAACCAGAGATTCAGCAAAAACCTGTTTCCAGCAACCTTCCCCTAACAGGGACTAGGAGGAGTTCACAGGAAAAGGGAACAGCCACCTTGAACTCTGACCCCCACCCCTAAATTCTCCAAAGCACAACAAAGGATGCAGACTGTTGAGTCAAACAGTTCTGGGGAGGCCTGAGAACACAGGAGGAAAAGGGCAGAGAAGCCTCTGTCTTGGCACCACTACAAGGACAACAAGGATATTGCAAAAAACACCCCTGGGTTTTGGTGAAAAAAGGTTTTATGAAAAATTTTCCCATAAGAAAAAGTAGAAACTGCATTGAGCTGAGAAAGTGACACTACATTATCACTCAATTTTTGGCCCAGCAGGCACACCACCAAAAGGGCAGTATGTGGTTTTAAACCTCACTTCCAGTAAAAAAAGCTTGTACTATGTACACACTGACATAAAGATCCAGTTTAATTTGCATTTTTCAGTGCAGACTGAGAAGCCCTCTCTTGAATAGGAGTAACAGTGAGAAATGCCCAGACTGTGATCATCAGCTTCCCCAAAGGGCATGAGAAGAAACATGGGGCCTCTTCCCTCTCTCCCCCAAAATATGCAAGAGGAAAGAGGATAAACTGACTGACCAATCAGAAATATGCGTAATTCAGTTTTGTTGCCTCCACACACCCCTGCCCCCAAATATTAAGAAATGGACAATTTCTGATCTATGTCACAGCAGAACCATTTGCATATTGGATCTATGATCATACTGAATCTGCTTTGGCTGGAGTATATTTTTTAAAGTATATAGCCTCAGAATTGAAGATAAAATGGGGGGAGATGAGAAGAAAGAATGTTGATAAAGCAGATTATTAACAGCTTTGTTTACTGAATTTAATGAAGGCTGGAGGCCTTTGCATAAGGAACCAACACAGGTGGTATGGGGAGCAGTATGGAAATGGTTCATGTAGCCCCCTACCCCACCCCACTACCACCAACACACGTCCCCAAACATATTTCTGATTGGTGGTATAAGAAAATTTTAAACTCATGAGCAATATTGTTGTAGTTCCATAAATCAATGGTTTCAGTGACTCTGGAGAAGTCTTTAAGATTAAGAACAATGGATGTGATTACAAATATAAAAGTCTAGAAGGTACCAGGTTTCTACATAGGAACAACCTGTTCCTTTCAGAAATCACTTTGTAACTGTGAAAGAGGGGAAAGATGACAAGGGACAAAGAAATGATGAAAAAGGGCCTCAACAGTCAGCAGAAGAAAACAGGACCCACAGCAGTTCTTCAGAGAGCTTGGGGGACGCGCCCGGGCACACAGGGAAGGCTTGCATAGATTGAGCAGTTACTGAGAATGCATAATAGTGTTTCCCTATGGAGAGCCTCACAGCACAGGGCTGACAGAGCAGAAAAACGCGACCAGGCCAGGGCCACATGGGACAACGACCGTCAAGCTACACATATTGCACCAAGGTAAGTGCTTTTATTCTCACACCTCAATTTAACTTTTTATTCTGAGCAAAAAATAAAACTTTGTGGAAAGTATATATATGTATATATATACACAAAAGAAATTGCAGCAATTGGGTTAAAGATAAAATAACCTAAAGTGCTTTTTTTATTTTATTATTTCTTTAATATACCAATATGAGGTTCTGCAAACTTGTCCCTCTGGACACATTCATCATTATACAGAGTCTGTCAGGAAAACCCACCCACCCTCTATTATACCCATCAGTCCACTGCCTTGACCCTGAAAATAAAACTCTCCAATCTACCCACTCTCCCAGAGGTGGTGAAAAGAAGCCCCTTGCCTTCTACCCAGAGAGGTCTTCACATCTTAAGGCCCCTTCAGGGCTTTGTACCATGATCTCCTTCTAAAGGGAGGTGGAATTCAATAAATGATACCCCTCCTATCACCAAACCAGTGGTGCCCCCATGAGACTGGCCAGACCCTGCCAGGAAAGACTGGGCCATTCTCTCTCTCAATGTCCCACCCACCTGCCTGGGAAGGGCCAAATTCACTAAGGCAGTTTGGTGGTGCCAGCCAAAGTTTCCTACCACTTCCTAAGCCCATGAACTCCAATCCCTGGTGCTAACTAGCACCATTTAAAGGGGCAGTCTAACTGGAAATGCTAGTAGGAGCTGGAAGTATAAATATGCAGAGTGAAAATGGTTATGGTTACCATGGGAAAGAAAAAAAGGCTTGGGCCGGCCTGTGGCTCACTCGGGAGAGTGCGGTGCTGAAAACACCAAGGCCATGGGTTCGGATCCCACATAGGGATGGCCGGTTGCTCACTGGGTAAGCGTGGTGCTGACAACACCAAGTCAAGGGTTAAGATCCCCTTGCCGGTCATCTTTAAAAAAAAAAAAAGAAAGAAAGAAAAAAAGGCTTGAGTTCACCTGCTAGAATCCTGCAGCCCCTCCTAACCTCTCCCTAGGTTCACTCCCAGGTGTGGGAAACCACACTCTCTATGAAAGTTCTTTCTGGCTCCAATTTAGCCAGAGGCCCTCTCTTCTTCAAGGCCCTTGGCACTAGAAGCCAGGCTTATGGAAGGATGGAGCGGGAAAGATGGAAGCGGATGGAAGGAAAGACTGCCTACCCTGTGGAATAAACCTGCTCTTCACAACCACTCACTAGCATTTTAAGCACATTCTGGATTTTTCAAAAGCTGATTGGATCTGACAGTCTCTCTTGTAATCTAAAATCACCCTCAAAAGGCAGATACTTCAACTTCTTCAACTAGAAAACTCTGTCAGCCTAAACACTGTTTTAAGATGCTTCCTCATCACCCCCAATCTTTGGAGAGTGGAAAAATTGCTGACCTGTGTAGGGCCCAACAAGAGCACAGCCCTGCCTAACCAGGAAGAAGCAATATTTAAACCATGGATGCTTTAAATGTCCTTCCCTGGGCTCCTATTTCCCACCTCAACTCCCAGGGAACACAAATCCCAGGTGTTCATAGGGTGGGCATGTGGGAAGGTCATTACTGCCTCTGATACAAACTAACTTTGGGGTCCCACCCACTGCTCGCTCAGAAGTTGGTGAGTTAACAGCAAGGGCCCTACCTCAAAGCTTCCTATGGGTGCAAGGCCCAGAGACAGCCAAGGACAACCCACGCTCAGCAGGTGGTTTTCCAGGAGGACTAACCCACCATAGTAACAGATTCCTCCTGCCTTATTGACTTCTGCTGAGGTCAACAGTCACCAAAACTTACAGCCTTTTGGGGAGGGCAAGTGCAGAAGGCTAAAAAGGAATCAATTCTCCTGACTAGAATTCTGGAATGAGAAATCAGCTGCTTGTAGTTAAGCCCATTTCTCCTCATGGCAGTAACAGCACTTACCACCACTACCCTCTTGTCCAAGTCTGTCCCTGAACATCCTGGCAAAAGGCAGGGTCTCTGGCTCCAATGTAAATTATCTGCTTTGGATACTATCTTGGCTGGCCCTGAGTAATGGCTAAGAGGATAGGAGAGTGACCAATAGCGATCTCTTTACATTAGGGAGTGGAAATGCAAGGCAAAATTACGGCTGCTTTCTGCCTGACACCGTTGACTCAGAAAAGCAGCCTTGTTTGTGGAACACTGCTCCTTGCTCGAGGAAGGGAAAGGGCTCCTGGGAGGCAGAGGCCTATCCACACCCTGGGCCATGCTTGGCTCCTGAGCTTGGTGAGCACTCATGACTACATTAATTTCCATTCTAGTGTGGATTGTATTTTATGTTTTATTTTAAGAGGCAATGACTTGGAGCCAAAGGCAGACAGATGGATTTAATTCTATACACAAATCAAAAAAAATTTTTCTATAACACAACTTAATGAAACATTCCAAATGAGATAACTTATTGCAACATTTCAGGCTTTTTGGTGGAAGGGGAATTTTTTGTTTTGTTTTACCCTGAGTAGAAGATCATTGTTTTTGTTTTTTGCTTTTTCTTTTTTCTTTTTGTTTAGAAATCACATGACTAAGCTGAGCAAATCACATCCTTGTTTGCACTGTACTATGCTGTATGCAAAATCCAGAGGGGTGAAGGGCAAAGATGGAAGGGGGCGACCAAAAGCCGGGCTAGAACCTGGATCCAGGACACCTGGTCTGCCAATTATATGCCACCTCATACATATTCCCTTAAATCTGCACCTTTTCCTGATAAGCACAATGCAGCCCTTCTGCTCTGAGGAAGGAAATACCATTAAAAGGAAGGCAGACTACCAACCAGCAACTGGCCATAAGCCACATGTTCACTCTAGGACAAAACGGAGATGTTCTCCAAGGAAAATTCACTGCAATCTGCAAGCTTTGGCAAACAACTGAACGACAGAAAGAGCCAGGAAGGCAAAGTCTGTGGTGATGTTGCTAGAGCCTGCTCTGCACACACTTCATCCACAGACAGCAGTCAACGACTTGCTGAGGGCCCCTGCAGAACCAAATCAGCTCCACAGCCTGCGGGCCAGGCCCTAAAGGTGGCCATT